CACACACACACACACACACACACACTGTCATATCCTCTCCTCTGTCACGACAACCTCATCATCTGATGTGAACCAGACTCACTCGTTTTCTTGACCCTCGGCCGTGTTCCTCTTTCAGCTCTCTCCATGGCAACGACATCTCGGAGCTGCAGCAGGGCATCTTCAGCGACGTGGCCTCCCTGTCTCACCTGTAAGCAAACATACATTACTTCACACACGTGTACGTACACTGACAGAATGAGGTCTCCGTCTGTGTGTGTGTGTGTGTGTGTGTGTGTGTGTGTGTGTGTGTCCTGCCTTCATGGCTCCAGTGAGATAGAGTCCAGTTCACGGAGATTGAGTGGTTTCAAGTAGCTGTCCGCTGGATTGAATTAGCTGGAAAGATCCATCATTTCATATGGCTTTATTGATCTGAGGCCTGTGTGTGTGTGTGTGTGTGTGTGTGTGTGTGTGTGTGTGTGTGTGCAGTCAAGCTTGTGACCCATGTGAGTCAAAGATCTACAGTAAGTGCGGAGGGAGGGAAGACGAGGGGAGGAGACGGAGGACAGATGATGGCAGACAGCAGAAGGGGGGGAGGGGGGAGGGGGGGATGTGAACAGGAGGTGAAGAACAGAGGGAGGAAGAATTTTTTATTTTGGTGGTGTGAAACATGACATCATCCTGCTGCTGTCTGTCAGGAAACTGAACCGAGATGTAAAATTATCTCCTGGAATCAAACCCAGCTCGAGAAAAGTGACTTTTTCTTTCCTCCAATGAAAAGTTTCTCGATGTGACTTCATCAAACACAAGAAGAGTTTTATTATCTGTGTGTGTGTGTGTGTGTGTGTGTGTGTGTGTGTGTGTGTGTGTGAGCAGAGCTGTGAGGTGTAACAGCTCCACCTTGTGGCAGTGCATGTGGGTGCAGTGCATGTTAATCACCTTCAACCTCTTTTATCTCTTCTCCTTCTTTCTCTGTTTTCTTGACTCTTTTTTTTTCACTTCCTCTTCTCTCTCCTTTTTCCATCCTCCTGCTTCTCTTTCTTTTTCCTCATATATTTCACATTATTCCCTCCTTCTCAGTTTGAGTAGTTTTCATTAGTTGTTTTATTCTTTATTTCTTTTATTTGTGTTTAGAATAAAGAACCAAGTGACGTCTGAAGAAAGAGGGGAAACTTCATCTCTGACTTTCCTCTGAACCTTTCCTCTCTTGCTTCACCACTCGGTTCTTCTTTCCTCATTCCTCTCCTCCTCACTTTTATTTTTCCTAAATCCTCCTCTCTCTCCGTCACTGAGCTGACTCTTTATCTTTTCTCCAATCTTTATTTTCTCCAGAGCGATCGGAGCCAACCCTCTGTACTGTGACTGCCGCCTGCTCTGGCTCTCAGACTGGGTGAAGAGCGGCTACAAGGAGCCCGGTATCGCCCGCTGTGCCGGCCCCCGGGACATGGAGGGCAAACTGCTGCTCACCACGCCCGCCGACAAGTTCCAGTGTCTGGGTGAGTCGGAAGAAAATCTAGAAGAGTTTCCTGTTCAGCGTCTTGAGGTCAGAAGTGTTTGATCTGATTCATCCTCTTCAGTGATTTGTAATGAATCCTGAACTTATTCTAATCATGTAGGATTTTATTTAACTTATTTTAGGTCTAAAGTTTTTCTGGTCTGATCACAGACAGTCAATAAAGATGGACGACATGACTACGCTCAAAAAGTGAAGCCAATCTCTATCGCCCCCCGGTGGCGGGCTGCAGCCTAGGTCATAAACCCCGCCTCCTCCATGTTAAGATATCATTTTAAATAAATGCTTGTCGAAGACGTTTCTGTCGTTTCAGCTCGTTCTCATCTCGCTGATGTTTGTTCGAGTGTTTCTGATCAGTTCGGTTTGAATCGTTTATCTGATGATATAGAAACAGACGTGGTGATTGACAGCTGACACTGACTCCTGATTGGCTGAGTGTGTGTATCGACAAGACGTCTAAACCGCGCCTCCTTCCTCTGATGTTATCATTCTGTGTTTCTATCAGTACAATTCAAGATGTTTAGGAACCGTTGAGCTCTTTGTGATGTTCCACTTTCCCATTAGAACCTTGTTTGTATCTTCATGTTCCCGTTTCTTCTCGTTCCCCTCTGAAGCTCTTCACCTAGAGAAGTGCCAGGTGTGTTATTGTGTAATTATAAACTATCACTTATGAAGCTAAATCAGTCAGACTTTAATCTGCATTCAGCTAATTGTGACACTTAAACTGTGCGATGATACAGAGAGCGATCTTTTATTCAGTGTTTCATTTGTCTGCCGAGGGGAATTTGGGAGCAAAAAGCTTAATTAATCCACAGTGAATTTAAGATGTGAAAGAATAAAATAAATTACGGCTCATGACAACAAAGATGGAGATTTAAAGTTGTGTTAAAACCAGTGAAAGTCACAGAGCGTCACAGCTCCGGGTTTTAAAGATTTAATCTCTTCATGGTGTGAATATAATAATAATAACTTGAATTAAAACAGCGCCTCTCAAGAGACCCGGAGACGCTTCGCTGTGAAGCTGTGACTTTTAAAAAAAGATGAAAACACTGCAGCACTGTAAAGTTCAGTGTGTGTCTGTGTGTGTGTCTGTGTGTGTGTCTGTGTGTGTCTGTGTGTGTGTGTGTGTGTGTGTGTGTGATCAGGTCCAGTGGAGGCGTCTGTTCAGGCCAAATGCAGCCCGTGTGTGTCGTCCCCCTGCCAGAACCAGGGCGTCTGCCAAGTCCACCACACACAACCGTACACCTGCACCTGCACGACTGGATTCACGGTATGCAACTGTGTGTGTCCGTGTGTGTGTTTGTGTGTGTGTCTTTGTGTTGCGTGCTGCAGACAGGCTCGCGTGATCTACTCGGTGAGTTTGTGTGTTGTTTTTTTTTTTTGTCTGCACCTTGTGTCGTCTAATCAAAAGGTTTCCCCCTGCAGACGCACAATAATCCATTTACACCCCCAGAGCTGGATGTTTTAAAACCACTGATCCAATATTTTGTTTGCGTGTTGTCAGAGATTATTTTTAGCTCGCAGCTGTCTCTGATAATCCCATCAAATGACTCTGTTGACCTGATCTAATGTTGTATGCTTTTTAAAAACAGGAATATGCTCTGTATTCACTGTGTGTGTGTGTGTGTGTGTGTGTGTGTGTGTTTCAGGGTGAACACTGTGAGACACCAGTTGATGCTTGCTTCAGTAATCCCTGCACCAACGGAGGAACCTGTCTGAGCGACGAGCAGACGAGAGGCTTCAGGTAACGACTCTGCTCTGCTGCTTCACATCTCAGAGTTCAAACCGCCTGAAACTACAAAAGTAAACCAACAGCAAACTGATTGTTTGAATTATTTTACGTCCCTCAGAGTTTTCTCTTCTGTTTTTCATCGTGGGTGAATGTTCATTGTTCACAGACTCATGTTATATTGTGCTGCTGTCGCACGCAGAACGTAAAAGATCGTTTTAATCAAGTATATGTACAATTTATGTTTCAGGAGAATCAAATGTGAGATTTTAACAATAAAGTCGTAATATTATGAGAATACATTTCACATTAGAGAAAATCAGAGGCTCGGTCTATCACCTGCTTAAACATGAGGAGTGTTAAGTTATACTTCAGTGTGAGTTTCATAAATATTAAATATGATAAGAAATAGTTTGAGCGTCACCTTTAAAGACGACGATGTTTTAAAATCAGATCAATCTTTGAACGTTGACTCCGACACGACCTGACGAACAGAAACAGGTTTGTGGAGACGGATGATGACTGTTTATCTTAAAATACCTGCTCAGTGTAATTTATATGATATAGTAGTTTAATTATGTTTTGATTAGTTACTGCAAATTTCAACAAGTTACAGAATTAGAATTAAAAGTTCAAGTAAAAAAAAAAGAAAAACCTATTATTTTTAAACCACACATGAGACGGAGGATTAGAGCCAGAAAGAAACTGTGATTTCAAGAATAAAGTTGAAAATTTTGTAAGTTGTAATTTTACGAGAATAAAGTTTAATAATAAATTAGTAAATTTAGTTTACGTGTTGTGTCAGAGGGAGAATATCAGAAGATCCGTGTGTCTCTGGTGTTAAAATCATCTACGTGCAGCATCTGGTTAAGTTTTACTTTAGTTTAAGTTTTATAAACAACAGAATACTTGATGTTTTGTCATCGTGTAAAAGTTTTGTGTCAAATTCAAAGAACTTTCAGAGTTTCTCAATCAGGTTTTTCCTTGTTCTCGTTACCGTAAATGAGAGTTTGTTGTTGTTCCAGCTGCGCGTGTGCGTTTGGTTTCCACGGCACGTTCTGCGAGGTGAACGTGGATGACTGTCAGGACCACGGATGCGAGAACGGCGCCACCTGCGTGGACGGAGTTGGGAACTACACGTGCTTGTGTTCTCCAAACTACACAGGTACGTCTCCGGGATCAGCTCCACTCATTTTCCTCCTCCCTTCACAAAGGTCCACAAAACGTCTGTGTGTCACAGAATCACACAACGGATCTGTTGTCAATAAAGTAAAAAACTTTATCGACACTTTGGTTCTCGTCTTGTTCTCAGGTCTGTTCTGTGAAGAGGTGGAGGGGGTGTGTTCTCCAGGTAGAAACCCCTGTCAGCATCAGTCTACCTGCATCAGCGCTCCCACAGGCCCCAGGTGACCACACACACACACACACACACACACACACACACACACACACACACACACACACACACACACACACACCTCTTTCCGAAACCAAATCCTCATTGTAACCTGAGCCCTAAACTGTGTGTGTGTGTGTGTGTGTGTGTGTGTGTGTGTGTGTGTGTGTGTGTGTGTGTTCCAGGTGTGTGTGTATCCCCGGCTGGGTGGGTCCCGACTGCAGTATAGATTATAATGAGTGTGTGGATCACCGCTGTCAGAACGGAGCTCAGTGCGTCGACCATCTGGACGGTTACAGCTGCGTCTGTCCTCAGGGATACAGGTACTGGGAACGCTGGGGATTCTGGGAACGCTGGGGATTCTGGGAATGCTGGGAATTCTGGGAACGTAAGAGATAGTGTTACGAAAGTGTACCTGGGGAACTGGGCTCTCTGGGAAAAACAGGAAACACAGCACAGGAACCTGGATTTAAACATTTAAAACACTGTGATCACCTCTGATATCTGCTGTGATGTCATCATCAGTGGACAGTTCTGCGAGGCGGCCCTTGTTCCCCCGTCACCGTGCCAGCTGGCTCAGTGTCAGAACGGCGCCCCCTGCGTGGAGAGGACGGACACGGTGGAGTGCCAGTGTCTGCCAGGCTTCGAGGGTCAGAGCTGTGAGAAGCTGGTCAGCGTCAACTTCGTGGACAGAGACTCGTATGTTGAGCTTCAAGACGTCAAGAACTGGCCCCAGGCCAACATCACCCTGCAGGCGAGGACACACACACACACACACACACACACACACACACACACACACAGAGTCGCAACAAAAAGTGTATCCCACACGTCAACATGCTCCGGTGTGTTTGTTTCAGGTGTCGACAGCAGAGGACAACGGTATCCTGCTCTATAACGGAGACAATGAACCAATCGCTGTCGAGCTTCATCAGGGTCATGTCAGGGTCACGTATGATCCCGGCAACCAGCCTGCGACCACTATTTACAGGTAAACACACACACATACACACACACACACACACTCGAGGACACGTTTTCGTCCTGAAAATAAGAACCTGATTTGTGAGTGAGGTCATTGAACGCAGCACGATGTTACCTTCAGGACCGTGAAGCGGTGAAAGGAAAAACATCCTCGATGTAAAGATGTCTGTGTGTGTGTGTGTGTGTGTGTGGTGAAATAGAGACCTCCGTCGTTTTGACCAGTGCATGCTGGGACACCTCTAGTGACGGGTGTTTGGTTCACGGCTGAATTAAAAACCTAATTAAGAACTAATTAAGTTTATTTCAAGAAAAAAGAAGGAAACAGCTGAAGCCTCCCTTTTGTTTTTCATCTCTCCGTCTCTTTCTTGTGAACGTGATATTTCCAGAACGCCCTGAGGTCATTTCCTCAAATTTGGTTCAATCGTTCAGTCAGGATTAACTGATTAGAATTTGGTCGAAGGTCGAAGGTCAAAGCCACAGTGACCTCACAAAACACAGAATCTTCTCAGATGATTTGAATTCAAAGATGAACTGATTATATTTATAAAAACTATTATCTCCAAGTCCATGGCGGTAATTCTTCCTCCGTCTGTGCTCAGCACCGAGACGGTAAACGACGGGCGTTTCCACACAGTGGAGCTGGTGACCTTTAACCGGATGGTGAACTTGTCTGTGGACGGAGGAGAGCCGACGACCTTGGACAGTCAGGGGCGGAGCCAGCTGGTGACGGGGGAGGCTCCTCTGTATGTGGGAGGTAAGAGCAGAAGTGGAGGGACGATGGACGATCAATAAACCTGATCGGTCACAGGACTGATAAGTTGATGTTGTGTGTCCAGGGATGCCGGAGGAGGTGATGCCCGCCTCTCTGGGTCTGTCCTCTCAGACCCTCAACACGTCCAGCTTCCACGGATGCATCAGGAATCTTTACATCAACCACGAGCTGCAGGATTTCACCCGCGGCCACATGAAGCCGGGCGTGGTCCCGGGCTGTCAGGCCTGCCGCAAACTCTACTGCCTCCACGGCGTCTGCCGACCCGACGCCGCGCAGGGCCCTCAGTGTCACTGTCAGACCGGCTGGACGGGACAGCACTGTGACCAGCCAATGGCAGGAGCCCTTACTGGACTGGACGTCGTCACGACGACAACCAGTGTCGACCCGTGTGAAGGAAACAAGTGAGAGTGTTTTGTTCTGGCATTTAAAGACATTTCACATGTTGCACTTTACACAGAAACTCGTAACAAATGTCAGTCGTCATTACAGCGCCGTGCAGTAAAAGGCTTAAAGTGACATTTATGAATCATTTCATAACGTTGATGTCGAGGCTCCGTCACTGACTCGGCTCCGTTTCTTCGTCCAGGTGCGTGAACGGCGCGTGCGCGGCGTTGGACGCGCAAACATACCGCTGCGACTGCAAGGAGGGATATCACGGAGCGCTGTGCAACCTGCAGGGGGAGCCGGCGGGCTCCTGTCAGGGTGTGCAGTGTCTGCACGGACAATGTCAGGAGACAGAGGGAGGAGAGCGCTGCGTCTGCCAGCAGGGATTCACCGGACAGAGCTGCGACATAGGTGAGCGACCCTGTGATGAAAACCACGGAGGCTGCTGACGGAACTCGCTCTGAGAAACATGTCAGACATCTTTACTGAACAACGACATCACTGTGCTCAACCACCGTCTGTAAATAAAGATGGACGACGTCTCCACCTCGCTCATCTTTGTTCCCTGAGGTCTTTATCACTGTTTTATCATCGAGGTCTGATCCGACCAAGAGAAAATCACAAACACGTTTGAATTTCTCTTTTTAAAAATACACATTCACGTCATCTGTATTTGTGACGAAAGTGCAGATTTCATCTTTTTGTTTTTAGCTTCACTTGAGTCCGAACTCAAATCGATCGGTTTGAAAGCTGAGATTTTCTCACAGCGACTTCATCGCTGTCGTCTCTTCACCGGTGTCAAGTTCAGTTTGTGAAATCTAAAAACATTTTTCTGGCTTGATGATTTAAAAAGTGTGTGATGAAGCCGTTGCATCAGTTAATTGTGGTGAATGTGTAGAATGAACCCTCGTGGGCGAGCTCTGCACGACTTCTTCAACTGTTTTTGCTTCTTCTTGACACATTTCTAATGAGATTGTAAATTAACTGACGACGGATCAAGAACTGAATCAAAGATATAAATCCAATTATTGATGCTGCAGCAGGTCGAAGAGACAAAACTTCATTTAGTAATTAGTTTGTTCGTCTTTCACATTTTGATTTGGTTTTTATTTTTGATT